CTTTAAGAGGGAATGTCTTCTTAAGAGAGAAGATCCCTTATATCTAGCATAATGTCTTACAGATAGAGAGTACTAAGTAAACGTTATTAAATGAACCCAGTGGAAAGAACTGCGTGAAGAATCGGGAGACTTAGATTCCACACTTATGTCTGTGATTATCTTGCATTATTACCTGATTTAAGCCACTTGCGTGTTCTCTGCTTTATTTTCCTCATCTATAAAAATGAGGTGGGACTAGATTATCTCTGAAATTACTTCTTTCTCTGACATTCTGTAGTTTGAAGATTTCTATTGGAATGAGAATGTTTATCTAAAGGATGTATTTGGAAGTTATTTTTCATCTAGCAGTCACTTTCTGACAATGACAACTTTTCTGTAATGCATTTATGGTCCTTATATATAGTCCTTAAATTTGAATGTGTGTGTAATATTAAAAGAATGTGTAATAACTGTGATTTTTTTTTCTTTTCTATTAATAATGCATTGCTGTTGGTTCTTCAGCTGTCTGATAGCATTCTTGTCAGCTGTTGAAAGGATTAAAACCCAAAATGTTACGGGTTGTTTTTCCTATATGTATCTTACACCTTGTCAACTAGCATGATAGGTCCCTGATTTGTCTCTAAATTACAAGGTCACCAGGTTAGTTTTTCATAGGTTGTGCTCATTTAAAAATCAGGATTCTGTTTCTTTCTGTTTCCTTAGTTTGTGTTGGGCAGAACCTTATTGTTTTATAGACCCCCTTGACAATAACAACCAATATCCAGGAAGCAAACTTGACCACTGTCTCAAAAAATAAAGGGAAAAGGAAAAAAATTGTCATTTTTAAATCACCCAACACCCAACTCAGTCATTCTTAAGTCTGGAATATCACCAGCACAGCATTGTACAGAGCATAAAATTTTATTGAGATATTTTCCAGATATGATTATAGTAAAAAAGAAAAAGAATTTGTTCTGTGGTGCTACTATTGAGGAATTTCATCAGTAATCCCAGATATTATTTGGCAATTCAAACAGATCTTTGGCTGTCCAAGAATTTTGTAAATTCTACTTAGCAATTTTGGGATTGTAGATATGGAGAAGAGTTTTATATTATGACTAATGAAAATTAACATTTCATCTATATACCATTTTTATTTATTTTGCCATTTGGTTTGAGCAGGTTGAGGTCCATGTAGGAAGGTTCTCTAAGGTTTTCAGGAATTTGGGCCTAGAGCTGTAGTGAGATTGCACGCAGGAGTAGACTAAGACACATCCGACTTTATTAATGACAGGTTTTAAAAGAGGACTGTAACAAATTGATAGCAATGAGAAGTGTTCTTTGATGCCATAGCCTTCCTGGAGTGAATCATGTAAACAGTTTCCAGAAGATAATAGAGAGACTTTAACATTGGTTTGCTGTCTTCCTTCGGTGTCCCCTTTGTTGGGGCCCTTCAGGCAAGGAGTTAGTAATAATAGATATCACTTTTATAGTTTACTTTTTCCTTCTATAAATAGAACCAAGAAATAATATATGTTTATATTTCTGCCCCTTCTAGCTCTTTGCTCTTAAATCCTTCTTGATTTCATCTGTGTCTTTTCTCTTGCAGCTAGATTGTTAAGCATCTCTGGGACAAAAGCTAGTGTATTACTCCTTTCTATAGAATACCTGGTCTAGTGCAAGGCACCCTCTAGGGTTGATTCTTTGCAAGAGGAAAGATAATCAGCAGAATTAACTAGAGGCTGCTATGGGAGTAAAGAGAGACCTGTGTCTTCAGTTATGCCTGATTCATTTATTCGTTCTTTGTATTTTTTTTTTTTTACACTAAAGGAGAGTTTTTAGTGCTGAAGCCCTTAAGCAGTTACCTCTAAACATACTTGGGCGTACTGCCTTCAAGGAGCCTCCTGTCTAGCTGCACAGACAAATATCCACAAATAACAGGGCAAACTATATTCGTATTATGGGCAAGGTGGCTTTGGGAATGGTAGCACAAAGTAAAGAGAGGCTCTGGGAAGATGTTGTGGGAGGAGAAACGTATTTGAGCTATGTTTTGAAGACTGGGTAGCATTTAGTTTTTGTGTAAGTTCAAACTTTGAAGGTATTGTCCCACCCCACCCCCCAACCTTGTTAAAAAAAAAAATGCTGTCATCATAAGTTATTAGCTTAAGTTATATTTGGCTTTGCAGAGCATATTAGCATCTTTTATAGTTGGTGCCACTACTGTGGCATACAAAAAAGTGTAGGATTCCACATAGCCCCATACAGGTAGGGTCCAGACTTATTTAAGATGACCCTGTAATATCACAAAAAGAGCATTGGAATTGGAATTAGAAGACCTGTATGCAAAAATTTTATGGTTTTTTGTACTTCAAGAAAGAACTCTGAACTTCTTTGAAAGGAAGGAAATTAAACGGAGGAAAGAAAAAAAAAATTGGGTCTCTGACTTGGTCTCTTAGAAGTTTATGATCAGAGTTGGAAAATGTGTAGCGCATTTCCTAGGTGCCCAAGAACTTAAGAATTCTGTGGCCCCCCAGAAGGTATGGGAGTTGAACTAGGTACTGAGGAGAGGCACACTGTTGGATGGCTACCTAAAATGATATGGAGGGTTATGGCAGGCCCTGAAAATCGCCCCCAAAATTGTAATTTGCTTAGACTAGTTGAAAGCCTTAATGCAAATATTTGCATATTAAATAACAATCATTCATATCTTTACACCTCTGTTAAATGAAGAGGTAGGTTCAGTGATTGTAGGACTAAATGTAGCATTAACAAAAATCCTAATAAAAATAGAGTGATCCTATAGGAAAAATGACCTTAAACTCTGTTCTTTAGGAAAATACCCCATTGTTTTTGTCATTCAAATTAAAGGAGTTTTTGCTTAATTGCTTTTCAAATGAAAATACAATTCTGAAAAGAAGACAGTGGTAAAAGCTTTTTGTAAATATAAAATGTTAGCTTTTAAAAACTTAATTTCTTTCATTTTTCCATTTCTTCTCCTGCAAAAGGTAATGACATTTCCCTTAAGAGGAAAGACATTTTTGAAATGGAGTTAAATTATTATTTGAGATAAGGCTTGTCTCTGTCCTTATACTATATTCCAACTACTTAGGAAGAGACCTTATAGTCCTTGCAGCAGCTTCCTCTCTGTCTGCATGCCTTTCATGATCTGGGCAATAGAAAGATTAGCAGGTGATTTCCTCTTTCCTCTAGACATATTCCCACTTGCACAGTTGCACGTCCTCTGGTTTTTTCCCAGTGATGCAGGGTACTGTTGTGATGCTGAACTTCTTTTAAGAAATACCAGAGGCTTTATGAAACAGGCAGTTAATAGGGAGATTTGTGATAACAATTTTGGAATGCTTGATTCTAATATGTTGTTATTTACTTTCTTAAATACACTAATTTAGAGTTTCTTGCTTTCCTTTTTTTAAAATCAATCTTCATGTGATTTCCTTTCTCCATAATATAGTATTTTAATTTTTTAAATATGGTTTTACCCAAACACAATAATTGATACTCAAAGAAAATTATATTTAGCCATGGCATTATGTACTTCTGTTACTGCAGGTCTTGGTACCCGCCTATTTGAGAGGTATGTGACTTTCTGATTTACTTCAAAAAAGCCTAATGATTTAGTATCCTGTCTTAGGCAAGATTTGATAAAATCTGAGCCCTTTTTCTCTCTCATGATTCACTTGAGTAACTTTGGACTACTTATTTACTTTTTAGTTCTGTTGCCTCTGGTAATCCTGTATAAAACCTTATGGAATACAGTAATAAACAGTGCAAAAGAGTTTGAATGTCGAGAAGGGAAAATTTCAGAATCAGTCCTCCAGTTCAGTGATTCTTAACTTCGTTAATAACTGTTATTAACATTAAATAAGTCAGCTTTTATTGACAGTTAATGAAGAAGTGAACCTAAAGGAGTAGTTACAAAATTTTGGAAATTTTATGATTTTTGTACTTCAAGAAAGAACTTTGAACTTCTTTGAAAGGAAGGAAATTAAACGGGGGAAAGAAAAAAAATAAGAGGTTTCCCTCACCCTCCCAGGGAATTGAGAAAGTTGTAGAAGCGTGCACCAAAAAGAATCACTGGGTTCTAGAACGTTAGAGAAGTTGAAAAGAGAAATCTGATGTTCCTTGCTGAATTGTCTAAGCAGTGCTATAAAGTGAAGTGTAGAACAAGGATTTGGAAGTCAGGTGGGCCCAATTTCAAATCCTGACTTGGATGTTATGAGCTCTGTGTTATGAGCTGATGGAGCATTCCATATATACAGAGTGTCTCACATAGCGCTTGGCACAGTGGCCTGTATAAATGTTAGGTCCCCCCTCACATCAGCAGCCCCGTCCACAAGTCATTTTTACTTCTCTGGATTCTTGGCCAGCAATAAAACCATTAACTCAAGCAGCTTGAATCTAAAGTGTTACTCAGTACTTTGATACCTGCTGTTAGTGAAAGAGAAGAATGATGTCTAATTTTGTAAATCATTGCTAAAATTAATAGGCTTGGCAGAATGACTTATGTGTATATAGGAAACATTTTATCTAAATTATTCCTATGATCATTATACATACCTACCCTCCCCTTCTTTTTTTTTTCTTATATTTAACATGACATAAAATATGGAGTGGGAAATAAATAAGGCAGATAGTTTTCACTTATATGAAAAGTGGTTGCTAGGGTTCCACAGTTGAAATCACTGCTTTCAAGGAGATTATGGTTTGCAGCGTACTGTAGGAGGGTAAGAATGATAATGGTAACAGTACTGTGTGCTGATTCACTCATGTCAGTCCTATGAGGTATGACTCCTATTAGCCTCATTTTGCAGATAATGAAACCGAAGCACAGAGAGGTTGTTTGCATAGTTAGGAAGTAGCAGAGCCAGGATTTGAACACAGTCTGGGTCCAGAGGCCACTCTCTTAACCACTGTCTTATAGGACTAAGAGAAGACGGTCCTTTAAATGGGAGCAAATGTCCTAAAGCTGTGGTAGGTTGTTTACTTTTAGATTTGCTTGGCAGGTATTCTGAGAGAAGCCTCACAAAGTGTATCGGAATTACTATTGAGACCAGACCAGATTATTGTATGAAGCGGCATTTAAGTGACATGTTGACCTATGGTTGCACAAGGCTGGAGATTGGGGTGCAGAGCGTCTATGAAGACGTGGCCAGAGATACCAACAGGTAAGTTGGCAAATGATTTCACACAAGATCCTTCTAACTCCCACTGATTCTTTTCTGTGTTCATGCTCATCTTCTTCTCCTTCCTACCAGTCTTAGAGAAAGATACATAGGGATTCCTTCTTTTCAGAGTCAGCCTCTATCTCTGCTCTGAATTTCCATCCCCTTTCCTTATTTCTAGTCTTTACTGGCTCTTTTTCAGCAGCCTGTAAACGTGCTCTTCTCTCTTCCTGTTCTTGTCATAAACAGTCTTTCCCATCTGGAAAGCAGAAGGCAGGGCTCAAGATCAGTCATCTACAGCAGGAGAGAAGGCCAGGAGCATGGAAACAAAGAGAAGGGTTTGAACAAGAAGGACATCAGGGTGATATTTAAAAGATTAGTTTTTGTGAAGCGGATGCCAATAAGCAGAGTAGTGAAAGAAGGATTGGGGAGCAATGGATATAAACTGAGAAATTTGGGAGGGTAAGAAAGGATGGAAATAAGGTTGACAGAGCCATATGAAGTTCTCTTGTAGAACTCTAGAAATAGATCACTGAATTGATGAGAAAAGTTACACATGAAAGATTAGCTGTATAAGGAACTTCATGATTAATTGGTAAATTAGAGAAAAACAAAAGATTTCAGGAGTTTATTAGGCAGCAGAGATCATTGATTGTGTATGTAAAGGCAGGCTTCGGGAAGTTGGTATATGTTCAGTTGGACTTTAAAGGCTGCTTTACCAGGAGGGGCAGACATAATTGGGGGTTGTGGTAGGAGAAGGAAGTAAAAGGGAACTTGGGAAACATACACTGGTCAGCATCTTAGAAACCACCAGAAGAATGCCAGGCTAAGGAGAGAGGAATCTTTCCTTTAGGTACTAGAGGTCTTTTGGATACTTTTGAGCACAGGGAAGAATTACACAGAAATCAGGATTAAGAAAGATTAACCTGAGTAGAATGCACTCTTGTAGGGGAGAGTCTTAAACCGGAAGCACTGGTTGGCCTGCTACAGTGATCAAGGGTTGTACGTGTGGAGATGGGAAGAGTCTCTTGAAGGTCAGGAAAGCTTTCTGAAAAGAATGACATCGGACTTGAGACTTACAGGAAGAGTATGACTCAGGTGGGGAAGAGAAAGATTATTTCAGACAGAAAGAAACATACAAGCAAAGTCCTGAGGATGGGCGCACATGGTATATTTAGGGGATTTGGAGCAGGTTAGCTTGGTTTTAAGAGTGTAGAGCATGAGGTAGGAGAGTGGTAAGAGGTGAGGCTGAAGAAGTAAGCCATGGTGGCCAGATGATGAGGAAACTTAGAAGCCAGCCCAGGGAGTTTGGGCTTTAATCTGAGGACAGGCTCTATGCTAACTTGAGCATATCTGCATTTTAGATCCCTTTGGAAGGATCACAGTATGGAGGTGGATTAAGAAGAGCATGCTAGAAGGAAGACCAGTTAAGAGGCTCTTGCACTCATTTAAACAAGAAATGATGTCTTGAAAAGAAGTGAATGACAGTGTTTAGTGACTGAATGGAAATGGGGATAGGAGAGAGTGGGAAGTAGAGGAGTCTTGGAGGGAAGGTGAATTTCATTTTTGGACGTACTGAATTCTAGATACTTGTAGAACAACCAGTTGAGGGTTTGCTTTAGAGCAGAGCTGTCCAGCAGAACATTCTACAGTGATTGAAGTGTTCTACACCTGCACTGTTCAATATGATAGTGCAACTGAGGAACTGAATTTTTCATTTTAATTAAGTATAAACTGAGTAACTACATGTACCTAGGGACCGTGGTATTATACAGTAGAACTTTACTGGATATTTGCATGGGGTATCAGGAGAGAGGCCTTGCCTAGTCATATAAATTGGTAAGTGGTTAGCAAAAAGAGATTGGAAATGGTTTAATGGAAATGGATGGTAACATCCAGAGTAGGATGGAGTCCACTGTGTGTGTGTGTGTGTGTGTGTGTGTGTGTGTGTGTGTGTGTGTTGAATGGGAATGTCTTGGAGGTGAAAGGATTGGCTTAGGGCTTCAGTTTATAGTAGCCCCAAACTGTTATTAGGGCTTGCTTTCAACTTGGATGTGGTACTAGAATGGTAAGATGATTTACCCAGCTGGCCCCAGATGATTCTGCCTTGTCACTAAATCATTCACTCTTCTCACTTTTTTAAGGACCTTGGAGACTACCAGAATGAAATCTATTTTGTATGTAGGTGACATTCTTCATCTCTGTCTCTCTCCAAATAATTTCAAAAGGTTTTTAAAGGAAAGAGCATAACAACAGGCTGCTTCTGCATGGTTTTGAGCTCATTATTTCTGTTTTTAACTTAAGTATTTACATCAGTAAGCTTACTTCAGCTGATGATGCTAAACCAAATAATTTTTTTTTGTAGTCCAAATAATTTTAGTATACAGTAACTCTGGTTAACCCAGTCATTTACTGTCACAACCTTGAGTAAGTACATGGGGAATTTCTGAGAAATATCTCAGAAGTGAAATGATTTATTTCCAGGCCTTCTCAGAGCTAGAGATATAAAAATGATTTTCTGAGATTTTTATTCCCCAACCATATTATTCTTCATTATAAAACTACCATTACATGTCTCAGAGATTGTTTTCCCTCTGTTCCTTGTGTTAACCTTCCTTCCCATTTATTTGTATAATAGATAGTGAATTTTCTTTCCTCAGGGGCCACACTGTGAAGGCAGTATGTGAGTCATTTCACCTGGCCAAGGATTCTGGGTTCAAAGTCGTGGCTCATATGATGCCTGATCTGCCAAATGTGGGACTAGAGAGAGACATTGAACAGTTTACAGTAAGTGTTGCCTTAAACCAAGCTAATTTAGAATGCCTCTAGATGCTGCTCTGTCTACCCTCTCTGCTGTTTTGATTATTTACTGCTGATTTCCCTATCATTATTTAAGCAATGTGTCCTCATTATAGAATAGTAGAAACACTGTAGTGAAAGAAAAGTCATTCACAGCTCCAACACCAAATAAAACCCTAACATTTTAATATCCTTCTTTCTAGAATTTTTTTATGCTTAGGCTTTTTGGAGGGATGAGGTGGATTATACATATATACACACAGACACACTTACACTTATATATATGGTAAGTGTTTTAATGGCTTTTTCACTTAACGTAATGCAAGCATTTATCTGTGTTATATAGCCTGGTCTCTGTTAAAATGTTAACACATTTAAGTGTGTACTTAATTTCCATTGAATAAATATGCCATACTTTGCTTAATTCCTTCGAAATTTTTTTAAATTGAAGTTATTACCAGTTTTTTATATTGTAAATAGCACTGCAGGTGAACAGTTTTATGCCTATAACTTTTTGTAGTATTTAAGATTATTTCTTCAGGGAGTAGAATTATCAGGTAAAGGTATAAACACTTCAAGAATCTCACATTAGTTGCTTTTCAGAGGGTTGTAATAATTTAGTCATTTTAGCGGGGTTATCTTTTTCCCCAAATCTCTCCTGTTATGTATTTACATACACACACACATATAATGTTTCTATCTTTGCTAATTTGGTGGATTAAAGTGCCATTTCAGCTTGTTATTTTGTAATTATAGTAATATATTTTTCAGGTTTGCATGTAATAGTCATAATTCTTGCATCTTTTTAGAATTGTGTGTTTTTATTCTCTGACCAGTTACTCTGTTGAATATGAATTTTTTTTTTTTAAGATTTTTTATTTATCTGACATAGACACAGTGAGAGAGGGAACACAAGTAGGGGGAGTGGGAGAGGGAGAAGCAGGCTTCCCGCGGAGCAGGGAGCCCGATGCGGGGCTCGATCCCAGGACCCCGGGACCATGACCCGAGCCGAAGGCAGATGCTTAAATGACTGAGCCACCCAGGTGCCCCGGATATGAATATTTTTAATGTTAATTTAGATAAACTTTCTAGGTAAGGGCATTCTGGATTCATTGGGTTTTTTTTTTTTTTTAAGATTTTATTTATCTGAGAGAGAGCACACTTGAGCACACGAGCAGTGGGGAGGGGCAGAGGGAGATGAAGAAGCAGACTCCTCACTGAGCAGGGAGCCCAGGACCCTAACTAAGATCATGGCCTAAGCCGAAGGTAGATGCTTAACCGACTGAGCCACACCGGTGCCCCTCATTGGTTTTTTAAAAATAGTTGTTACAAATATTTTTGCCCACTTTGTCTTGGACCTTTCACTTTTGTATCTGTTGTCAAATCCATCCTTTATTTATGATTTCTTCAGATGCTTCTGAACTTAGAGCTGCTTTTCTCTTCCAGGATTTCATTAAACAGTAAGAGAAAATACTTGGGTTTTTTCCTAGGTTTTCTGTTTTTTAAATTTTAATACCTAACTCTGGGTTGGTTGGTTTTGGTTTTTGTTCTTTGCTTTTTTGTTTTTTGGGGTTTTTTTGTTGTTGTTGTTACTCTGTCACATGTTTGCTTGATCTATGTTCCTGTTGTCTTGGGAAATGAGATTGATCAGAACTTTTTTTTTGTTTTTTCTCCTTCAGATTCTCAGCTAGAGAAAGTACCTTTGGGATACTCTTTTAGAGAAGAGAGTGAAAGTATTTATCAAGTTATTTCATTCACAAAAATATTTTACTCTATTTAGAAAAATGGATTTCACCTTATTGTGACATATTTAATAATTCTTTCTTTCCTTGTCAGAAGTTTATCTTTATAATTTTTAAGCCAGTGAATTAACAACCGAAGGCCAATTTATAAGATAGTACTAATTCATAAATGTCCCTGTAACTAATTCCCCTGTGTTAGCTGTGTAAAGATTTTGAATCTAATACTAATAGTCTCTCCTCAGTAGTTAATAGCCAGGTACCCAGACTCCAATTCTAAAAGGCCCCTGAAACACTTTTCTTTAACACAGCTCCTAGGTGGACCAGAGATATAGTCAGAATTCATAACTTTAGGTATCCTTAGAGAAAAATATGGCATGTTTCAAATAATAGCAAATAGCTGAGTCTTACTATTCATTTTCCTTAGTGTCTTCAAAATAAAGAATAGTTCAGTAATAATATTGCAAAGACAATTCTTCATGTAAATAGACATATCTTGTTTGTAATCTTTTCAGAAAAACTCAAAGGGAATATGAACAGACTGTATGCCTTTTCTGACTGCATCCCAGCAAAAAAATGAGTGACAAAATAGAGCTAACATTTCTCTCTAGAGGAAAATTCTCTGCAAAATTAAATTTCCTTAAAATAAAGAATTTCTACAAATCAGTAAGAAAAAAGCAGACAGCCCAATAGGAGAATGGCAAAAACGTTTGAACAAGCACTTCATAAATAGAATATTCAAACAGCCAATAAACATATTTAAAAGTTCCAAAGTCATTAATCTTCAAAGAAATGAAATTTAAAACTATGATGCATTCCTACTATATACTCACCAGAAAAGCTAAGAATAGCTAAAATGAAAAAAAGACTAAATCAGATGTTGCTAAGAGTATGGAGCAACTAGAATTCTTCATTTACTGCTAGTACATTGGTACATCATGTATGACATTATCTACTAAGGGTGAATATATGCATACCCCATGACCCAGTAATTGTACTCCTAGATGTATACTCAACAGAAATGCCTACACATATTTACCAAAAGTCACGATCACAAATTACTATTGGTAATATCATCAGAGTGGCAACAAGTGTCCATTTAACAACAGAATGCATAAATTATGTAGTCATACAATGAAATACTATAAAAAATAATAAATTAATTACAACCTCATGCAACAACATGACTGATTCTTTTCAACATAAAATTGAAAAAAGGAAACCCGATCCAAAAGACTACCCAACATACAATTCTGTTAATATGAAGTCCAAAAACTTTGGGTGGAATTGTAACTGGAAACAGGCATGAGGTGGGCTTCTAAGGTTTTGATATTCTTTTTCTTAATTTGAGTGTCTGGGTGCTGGTTATAAGATGTGTAAAAATCTGTCAAGATATACACTTGGAGTTTGTGTACTTTTCTGTATGTAAGATACACTCCAATAAAAGTTTACACAAAAACTTTTAGAACTAATTTTTGTTTAGGAGATCTTGTTTGGGCCTATTTGGAATTCACAACCTTTCCTGAATTAGTAGGACTAGCAGAGGGAGAGGGAGCAGACACCCCACTGAGCAGGGAACCCCATGCAGGACCTGATCCCAGGACCCTGAGATCATGACCTGAGCTGAAGGCAGACGCTTAACCAACTGAGCCACCCAGGCACCCCTTGTTTTATACTTTAAAAACTTTTTTCCCTACTTTAGTTTATCGTCCCATCATTAGCAACCCACAGATATATTTTCCTTAATTAATGTGTTTTATTCCATAGGAAGTGTTGCTAAATCGGGAGTCTGTCTTAAAATTACAGAAGTGTACCAAATGTTATATTTGTAGAGGACGGGATAGCCTTGCCTGGCACGGATCCATAAAGCTACTACCTAGCCTGCTGAGTTATCACAGCTATATCTTGGGTTGTATGCCTACAGTGTGCTAGTTATAAATTGGCTTAGACCTCACACCTTGTTATTTAGGTCAGCTCTGGGTCACTACTCTTAGTATCTGTTTATTTGCATCTGTTCATGACAAATTCACACTCTTATCTAGTGGTAGGTGCAGAGCTTGTAACTGTGTGTGATAAATAGCATTTGCTTGTATTTTCCGGGAACTCAGAAATGAAGCTTCCTTTTTTCTTATGAAGCTGGAAGTCCTTGTTGTGGTGGAAATTCGGGAATTTATCCTGAAAGCATTAACTTCACCCTTTCCAGCTATCCTCAGATAGAACTTATTTATTACTCAAAGTAACTTTTAGCTGTTTTGGTGTTTTATTCCTTTAAAAATTAGACTGCTCTTGAATATCCAAGCTAAGATTGCTGAAAATGCTTGAAGAACATTTATTTCTCTTCAGAATCTCCTGTCAGTTACCAGAAGTCTTTCAAAGTCCATTAACATCTGACACAAGTTCTTTTTTTTCCCGACTGAGCCAGTGTGATTGAGTTACTGTTTGGCAGGGATGGCTAGCGATATTTGTTGTTACTTGTTTTTAATATAAAGGCTTGTCACTGAAGATAGTGGCATAGGAAACAAGTCACTGTAGCATTCTATCAGAAAAGACTACCTGTTGTAGTCTCTTCAATTGAGGAAGCCGGCCTGATGAGATTACGTAACTGGTCAAATCAGTGGTGAGTCTCATGTAGAACCCAAGCTCTTAGGTAAGCACCCTTTCCATGGCACCTTTCTGTGGTAACTTTTTTAGGTGCAGGGAAGTTTGACTATGAATGACTATGCATGACCTGAATGATATTGAAATACAAGTCAAGTTGGAGCTTAACAAAACTTTAAACCTCATTCTACTTTTAGTTATTTTTTATTTGAATCAAAGGAATACATGCATAATTTTAAAAGTCAAATTGTACCGAAAAACCTACAATGAAAGACAGCAATACCTTCCTTTCCTTTTCCTTGAGTGCACCCAGACAGATCATGTTACAAACGCTCCAGTGTCTCTGCTTCTCCCTCCCCTTCATTCCTCAAACCCCCTGCAGTTTGGCTCCCACCCTTCACTGAAACTCTTCTCTTGCATGTTGTAAAATACTTCCTAATCTCCAGACGCAAAGGGTACTTCTCTGCTGTCATGTGATTCAGTCTTAGCATTTGTTGTTGTTAAAGACTGTCTCCATTTTGGGATTCTCACCCTGCTGGTTTTTGTGACTCTTCTGTCTCCTGGCTCTTTTCTTGCCTCCAGGACTCTTTCTTTTCTGCTCTTCTTTTTCTTCCCACCACTGAAATGTAGGTTCTGTCTGTTGCTCTCTTCTGTCTGCTTGCCTTTCTTCTACTCTAACTTGACCACTTACACTTGGGTGAGTCTCATTTTCTCGCCAGCCTGAAGGCTTGGGCTCTTCAGACCAATTACTTAATACTCTGCAACTAGCACTAGATGTCTTACATGTAGTTAGAACTTAGTATGTCCAGTGTGGACATATTTATCCTTTCCCCCAGCCGTCTCTTCCTCTTTTTTTTCCTGTCATGCTTGGTGGCCCCTTCATCCACATATTCTCCCTAGCCAGAAATTCAGGAGTCATTCAGGAGCAAGTAGAGAATATTTGGACTCTGGAGCCAGACCGCCTAGTTTGGATCCTGGCCCCCAGTACTTAGTAACAGACTGTTTGACTGCTTTGTTCCCCAGTTCCCTCATCTCAAAAATGAGGTTAATTACAGTATCTCCCTATTATGAAGATTAGCTGAGAAAATGCATGTAACACACTTAGAAACATGCCTGGCACGTAGTGAGTGCTCAGTAAATCTTTGCTTCTGTGACTGTCCCTTCGTACCTTGAATCTAACTCCACAGGAGGTTGTCAGTAACTCCCCCTGCCTGTCCTTCAGAGCTCCCCTCCTCTCTGTCCCCACTGCCACTTCAGTTCATACTTTTCATCAGCTCACCTACACAGTTAGACAGCTTCTCAACTAAATCACCCAGCCACCGGCCCTCTTCCCTTCTGATGTTCCATTCACATTGCACCAGAATGATGTTTATCAGATTAATTTTTTATCTTTACAATATAAAAGTTGTTAAATAATAAAATCACTATTAAATATTCCTTGAAAATTCAGTACATCCTAGAGCGATCATATCAAAACACAGTAGTAGTCCTCTGGCACTTTCAACTGTTGTAGCTGGGGTTTTTTTCTGGGTATTTACCCCTCTGTATTTCTTACTACCATGCTTGGATTGCTTTTTCCTGATGATTTTGGATAGATTCTCTTGTCTTATTGTTATTGTGGATGAAAAGTTAATTCTTTTAAACTCTGCTCCCATTCTCCCAATATTGTTACATCACTATTTTAGCTACATTAGTAGTCAATGTTTACATTACAGTTTTTACATAAATTAATACTGACATAGAGCCAAGTAATATACTAACATTCTTTTCTTGAATAACCTTTTGAGTTTTTTCTAGAATTAATAATTGTCTTTTTTTTTTATTTGCTTAGTTCTCTATGCACCTGAAACTTTCAAGGGTACCCACCCACTCAATGTTAAGGCCTCTCTGCCAGTGGCCTAATTAATCAGATATTCTCTCAGTTCCTTTTTTAGGCTAGTGACATGACTCATGGATGTCTTGTCCTCCAACTCCAAACAGGACTGGCAGTTCTCTGTGCCTGGTTCACAACTGTCCTCCTGGTGAGGCTTCTCTTCACCAATCTCCTGGATTAGATTCTTTGTTTTCTGGTTTCCAAGTTAACCCTTTTTATTTGTTTATTCCTTGCCTTTACTGAAAACACCTTTTCTACCAGTTTCCTTAGGAAATATTCATCATAGAAAGTAAGCCTTTGGTGTGCTCGAAAAAATGGCTCTATGCAACCTTCACACTTACAGAATTGTGTAAAAACATTTTTTAAGGCATTGCACCATTGCCTTGTAGCTTTTAGCATTGCTGTTAAGAGCACAATTTTGTTTTTATTCCTTATTCTTTAATTCTATGATCTATGTAACCTGGGTGTTTTGTTAACTCCGAAATATTTTAGAAAATTGTCTTTATCCCATATGTTGTGAAATTTCACAGTGCTGTATCTTGAGAAGAGGTTTTTAACTAATTGTGCTAGATTTTTGAAGGATCTGTCTTCTGGGAAATTTTCTTGTACCACTGGATAATTTTCCCCTTTCATTTTCTATGTTCTCTTTCTAAAACCCCTATTAAGCAAATGTTGGATCTCTCAGGTTCGTCAAGTATTTTTTATATTTTTTACCTATTTGTCCTTTTTTTCTACTTTCTTCTATTTTCATGTTTATCTTTCAACTTTTCTGTTAAATGTTATTTTTGTTATAGCTTTGATTTTCAGGAGTTCTTTCTTACCTTCTGGTTGTTTGATTTTCTTTAGCATCTTGTTCTTGTTTAATAGATGTAATAGATCTTCTCTCTCTGAAGGAATTGTAGGGTTTTTTTAAGTTTCATTTTCCTTTATGCAATGCATCTTTCCTCCAAGTTCCTTTTTTTTCTTTTTGTTTTGTTCTGCCCTTTTTTTTTAGGCTTCCTCCAAGTTTCTGGTGATCCTTAGCCAAATGGTCATACTTTAAAAGTACGGGACAGGGGGCCTGGGTAGCTTAGTCAGTTAAGCGTCCAACTCTTGATTTTGTCTCAGGTCATTATCTCAGGTTGTGAGATTAAGCCCTGTGTCAGGCTCTGTGCTAGGCGTGGAGCCTGCCTAAGAGGCTTTCTCTCCCTCTCCCTCTGCTCCACCCACCCCCCCTTAAAAAAAATTAAAATTAAAAAAAAAAGTAAGGGGCTGAAAAAACAGATTGCAAGGTCTAGGTAGGTAGCTGCTGGGATACCTCATTGAAGGATATTCATATAATAAGCTCTCCTTTTCTTGTTTTGAGGTTTTATTTTATTTATATTTTTTAAGATTTTATTTTTCAGTGATCTGCACCCAACCATAGGGCTCGAACTCACAACCCAAAGATCAAGAGTCACATGCTGTCCAACTGAGCCAGCCAGGTGTGCCCCAGCTCTCCTTTTCTTTAGGGGATTCTCAAATGTCAGTATCTTGAACTCTTATTTAGGGCCATTTGATTAATCCAGAGATGAACTCTCTAACTTCCTGCTTGGGGGTGGCTGGTATGAGTAGGTCACAGAAAATTGACTGCTGGTATCCAGGGAACAAGGCAGGGAATCCACCAGTGAGTATGCTGGCTTTCATGTAATCTCTCTGTCTTCAGCCTTTATCCTCACCTAGGCCTTCCTTTGTACCTGGAATCTCAGAATCCAGCAGTTTCTCCAGGGAACAAATGGGCAGGTGACTACCTATAAGCAGGCCAAAGGAATAAGGGATAAATCCCTCCATGTTCAGACAGAAGAAGTCCTGTGATTTCTTCCATCCTGCCTGGTTAATGGTGCTTTTGACCCATGAGCCTTTCTGGGACTCTCGTGTGACTGAGCTGGACTTTCATGGGTATCCACTTTTGCAGATACTTTGTTTACAGTTTTATTTACTTGCAAAGTCATTTACCAATCTTCATCCATTTTCTGTCTCCCAAAAATGTATTACCATCACTGGTCCTGTTCTCTAACACCCAACTGATTTCCTCTGATGTTCTTTTTGTTCTTCTGGGTTTATACTTTCTTAAAAGTTCATCTCTTGTATTACTATGATTTTGGAGGGAAAAGAAGGAAGCACACGTTTCACTTCTCCATGTTTAACCAGAAGTCCAGAACCAATTTCATCTATCATTCTTACCAGCCCGACTATCTTCTAAATTTATCATATAAGCCCTTGAACTACTTTTCTGAAATCCCATATTCCATTATGGATTCAAACTAGGTACAGAAGGACTTGCATACATGTTCTTTGGGGTGGCTATAGAATACTTATAAGGGCCTAATGAATCGTTAATATATAAATGTTACAGGGAAAATTATATGCAATTACAGAAGAATATCCCTAAGACCAAATGATGCACAAAGAATACAGCACTTAAGAATATGACAGAAATCCATGAGAGAGATCGAAAAGTCTGCAGTTACATTTCTTTGAAAAGCAAGTTAAGCTTTGGAAAGCTCTGCAAGAATAATGGAGCACGAGATAAAAAGCACTGTAGCACGATGTAGTACAGCTGGCTCTGTAGGTACTACTGCCAGGGCGGGCTGAGAGGAAACTGAGTCCACCTTCATTCCTCTGTCCCACACTGCTAAAGTAAGAGCAAATGAGCAGTGCAAAGTCATGGAAAGGATAATGCCTGGTGTCTCCTTGCTTTATCCCAAATAAAGCCAGCTGGGATGATATAGTACAGGAAATGACTATGTCAAAGTAGATAAATTAGATGTATTTCTCAGTGTCTAGATAACAGATAGTGTGGATCCCAGGTTAGGAATGGTGCCAGTTGGCCTGAAGAGGGATTGGCATAGTCTTTCTGCTAAGGGCTGTATAGTAAACATTTTAGTTTTGCAGGCAAGTGATGATCTCTGTCACAACTTTTTTAAAAGTTGAAACAGTTAAGCATAATCTGTTATGAAAGGAGGATACAGTCTAGAGGTGAAGGCAGGCATCAAATAAATTACCAGTGTGATGATACTAAGAAAGCAGTAATACAGAATTCAGTATGAATTTTTTTTTTTTTTTAAGCGAGGCAACTTGTATTTGAAGGTCAGGAAGGCCTCTCTGAAGAATTGGCATTCATGCCGAGACCTGGAGATTAGCTAGATGAAGTAAAATTGATGTACTTTCCAGACAGAGGAAATTGCCTTTGCAAAGGCAGAGAGGCAGGTGGTGAGGAGATGAGATTGCAGCAGTAGACAGGGGCTGGATTAACGAGGGCTTTGTAACCCAGCACGCACACGTTTTGCTCCAGTGAGACTGTAAAAACAATGAGTTGCTATTTTGTTCCGTCAGGGGAGTCTAAGGACTTGGTAGGTATGTGAGAGAAGCTGGCCCAGGACTGAAACTTGACCATGGAAACTTCATCAATCTCTACATAACTAATGGAGTGGTAATTTTCTGTTCTCCATTCACAGGAATTTTTTGAGAACCCTGCTTTTCGTCCTGATGGTTTGAAACTCTACCCTACTCTGGTGATTCGTGGAACTGGGCTTTATGAGCTGTGGAAGTCAGGAAGATACAAGAGTTATTCTCCTAGCGACCTGATTGAATTGGTGGCTCGGATCCTTGCTCTTGTGCCTCCATGGACTCGAGTGTACCGAGTGCAGAGGTAGTGTGTTCTCTTTTATGCCAGAAGTAATCAGTGATGAGTCTGTCTGTTTAATTTCTAATGAGAACAGTCCGAGTTAATATTGAGGGGTTTGAATCTTTTTTTTTAATTGAAAATGAGACCTGGGGGCGCCTGGGTGGCTCAGTTGGTTAAGCGACTGCCTTTGGCTCAGGTCATGATCCTGGAGTCCCTGGATCGAGTCCCACATCAGGCTCCCTGCTCAGCAGGGAGTCTGCTTCTCCCTCTGACCCTCCCCCCTCTCATGTGCTCTCTCTCTCAAATAAATAAATAAAATCTTTAAAAAAAAAAAATGAGACCTGGAATGCTGTCTCTACATAGAGATGGAAATCCTGTCCAAGCCACTTTGCCAGTATCTTACTTATTCATGTATTCATCTCTCCATTGATTCATGTGCCAGGAAATGGAGTTATGATGGTACATATGCATGATGTTGGTTCCAGAATTTCCTCTTACAGGCCCACTTCAGTCTGGATACAGTAGTGAGTATGGAAGGAGGAAGTGTAGCCATTTGTCTGTTATCCCTGTTGCAGAGCCTCTAAAGAAAAAAAAGAAAGAGTAGCTATAATCATTCTTCACAGATATTAATGTAAATGTGGAGAAAGAGTAACCTATTCCTGAGGGCATGAAAGAAATCATCTTAACTGCTTTTTTCCTAGAGGAGAGAAAACCTAAGATCTCATTTGCATTCATGACATACATACATACATACATTTATTTATTTATTTTACAAGAAACATAACATGGAAGAAAAATTTTAGGAACCATAAAGTTACCTGTCTACCTACAATCCTGACAAAGCCATCCCTGTATTTGCTGTTCAGGAAGACACATTTCCACCACCTTGCCAAAAGCTGCCTAGATTCTAGTACAAACAAAAGGTTTGAAAAGGTGACTAGCAAATGCATGTACAGTCAGTTGCTGTGACTATTACTCCACTGAGCACAAAAATTGTGTTCCTAATAATATAAAACAGTGAGTACTGAAAATAAGCAGAATGAAGAAAATTATCAAGAATACAAAATAATGGATTTGCTTAAAAGTTGAAGGATATTTACACACCATACTTCTGCCACAATGTATTTGATTTCTTAAATTTTTTAAATTATTGGCCCAGTTTAAGAATCTTAAATTGCCCATATGATTTCTATTTTTTTCTTTTAAATACTGAGTAAAACTCGGCTGCCAGAACTGTTTGCATTGTCCTTCCCCTTCTTTTTCAACCCTTCTGAAATTCAGTTCAAAAGACATTAGGAGGTGTTCAACGATGCAGCCATCCGCACAGAGGTAGGGAGTCACAGGGCATGTATGTAGGCTGCACTTGTGGAGGAGGCAGTGGTGTGGCGTGGTCTCTGGCAGCCTAAATGTTGTAAAAAGGGCATTCTTGGGGCGTCTGGGTGGCTCAGTCATTAAGCGTCTGCCTTTGGCTCAGGTCATGGTCCCAGGGTCCTGGGATCAAGCCCCGCATCGGGCTCCCTGCTCAGCGGGGAGTCTGCCTCTCCCTCTGCTGCTCCCCCTGCTTGTGCTCTCTGTCCCTCTCTCTGTCAAATAAATAAAGAAAATACTTTAAAAAAAAAGGGCATTCTCGCTGAGGACTGGTCTGGCACAGGATGTCAGAACTGAGCAGGGTGAGGAGCATATCTCTGGGGTGGGTGCAGAGGAGAGGACAGCAACGGAAGATTGGTTACTTGCAGAGGGTTGATCTAGGAAAGTAGACAATATTAAGGATAATGGGAGCTAGGTTTTGTGTTATCTGGAGTGGAAGTTACAAGTGTGAAAAAGAAAATTAGAGTGTACCCCATGGTGTTTTAGAATAGGAGATACTGGTGTGAACTCATGGTTTTCAACATATAGGTAGATACAGAAATAATTGTAAATGTATAATAAATAATAAATATATAGTGTGTCTTTTTCACAGTCTGTTTAATGCCATGTTTTTTTGCATTTTTTTGCTGTTTGTTGGTGGTTTCACTATTTAAAATGACCCTTAAGGGTAGTACTGAAATGTTGTGTAGTGTTCCTAAGTGCAAGAAAGCTATGATGTGCCTTCTGGAGAAAATACATGTGTTAGATAAGCTTCATTCAGCCTTGAGTTAGAGCACTGTTGGCCGGGAGTTCAATATTGAATCAGTAATTATACATATAAGGTGTTGTTAAACACATGTGAAACAAGGTTATATGTTGATCAGTTAATGAAAATGTTGTGACTAGAGGCTCACAGGAACCTAGCTCTGTATTCCCCCTAGGAGCAGTGTTTTAATATTCACTAACTCAGCGTTCATGGCACCTTTATAGAACATATACTGTGAATAATGTGAATTGACTCTACATTGTTTCAGAATACCTCCCTACAACAGGCTTATTAATTACAGAGCAGAAATAAGTAATTTGACTGGCGAAGACCGGCAGCTGGTCGAAGTGAATATCATCAGTAATAGGACAAGTCAGTTATGTGCCACATGATAGTATGACAGTGTCACTTCTGTGTTAGCCAAAATTCCATGATCTGAATTGAATTATGAGGAAACAGCAGACAGTCCCAAATTGGGGGATATTCTAAAAAATCGTGTGAAATCTTCAAAATTATAAGAATTAAAGAAAGAGTTTCATTTTGAAGGAGACTAAAAAGTCATGACACCTAAATACAACACAGAGTTCTGACTGGACCCTTTTGCTATAAAGGACATTATTTAGACACTGGTGAACCTGCAGTGGAGTCCAGGATTAGACAGTAGTAAAGTACCAGTGTTAATTTCCGAATTTTGATGGTTGTATTATGGTTGTGTAAGAGAATATCCCTGTTGTAGGAAATACTTTAAGTATTCTGAGGGTATTGGAACATCTTGTTCCCAATTTACCATCACATAATTTAGGAAACTAGTTATTTGTACTGCACTTGGGACTTTTTCTGTAACTTTGTAAAAATGTAAATTAATACAATAGAAAACAAAGATGCAGTAAGTAGTATTAACAAAGACGAAAGAAAAAGATTAATTGCATTTAACTGACTTGAGCAACTAGATACAAGTGAAGATACTATTTCCCAGCAGCGGAGTATGACAACAAATCTGTTGTGTTGTAATTTAATGATAGTGATCTTATCAGCTCTGAGTACCTGAGACACTACCTGGCCCTTATTACTCATAGTGAGCCCTAACACTTATTTCCCCTATGGGGGCTAGTGTTGCTGGACTAGCCCTTACGCTGCTTTTTATAATTGCAGGACACACTTCAGCAAAAACCATCAGGGAACTTTGAGAAACCAGATTTGTTCCTCAGATGTCCTGGAGGGTAGCCAGCAAACCCAATAGGTACACAGTGAGCTTGAGGGGGGATGGGGGAAAGGCATGAACCTGGGCCTCTGCCTTTATTAGGATCCAGGGGTGGAATGTCTAGGGTTTTGTGGGTTCACTCATTATTGGTTAATTTAAAGAATAAGAATGGGAATTAGGGTGTGATAAGGATGAAATGGGACCACTTAGAGGGTCAGTTATCTAGGTTACCCAGGGCTTTCTGAAAGAGGCAACTTCATGGGGGGAAGGGGCAGTCCAAATCCTTATCTGGTTGTTCTGCTAGTAGCGTGTCACACAGCTGGCAATATGTTTACTCAGGATGGATGTCTTTGGAAATGGATGCCTCAGCAGTCGAAAACTTAATGTCAAGCACTTCTACTACAGAAAACTTAATGTCAGGCACTTACACTACAGGGCAACCAGAGAGCTCAGAAGATAATACTTCCCAGCAGCAGAGAATGACAGCAAATATCACGAAGTAGATAGAAATTTCACAGCCGTGGACACCATAGTTTTCTTACCATAGGTAACAAGGCATAACTCACACAATCAGGTGAAGAATTTGCATTCTCCCCCTTCACTTTCAGTTTTCAATTTCTTACTGCTGTAACCAGTGAGTCAAAAGCAACAGAGACATTGCTATAACATTAAAAGCTTAATTTTATAGGCCATGAAATATCACCATGGGACATTATCATGGCCTACCACCAAGAAAATAAAGACTTTGAGAAAACAAGAGCAGCAGAACAATCTCTGTAGCAAAATTGTGAGGGCGTCATGACCAGAAGAATTAAGAACATGTGTGTTAATACAACTAAAGGTTGTAGGATGAGAAGGGCATAATATTATGGATAACGAACATGAGGCTGATGAAAGAAACCCTGTTCTCACTTCTCCTATTATGACCCCATTAGAGCTCTCTCTGGAGAATCCAGCAATAGACGTGTCCCCCAGCTCTAATTCCAAGAAGCCAAACTGTCAGTTCTATTTCTCTATCAATACATCACTTAAAAGATATATGCAGGACAAATGGTACAGGTGGGTATAGGCTTAAGATTTTGAAGTGACACTCTTTTATTACTTTACAGATGTGTGGGTGAATTAAAACTTAACAGAATGCTGTAAAACAAGAGGTACAATCTCTTTAAACATGGAATTAGTAATGTCCTCAGACACTCAGAATTCATTTCAAGATGGTGATGACTCAGTTCCTAACATAGCAAATGCCTTTGGTGGAGAGAGTCATCCAGAGTCTACCTGTGATGTCAGATTTTCAGGCTTTGGGACTGATAATTTACTTAATTTTGAATGTGATTATTTTCTACGTTTTTTAGATTAAAGATTAAAATCTTTGGGATACTTCCTATTTTATTTTTCTATTTTTTGTATTTCTAATTTAACCATGATATTGCTAAACAGGTTTCCATTAGAATTCTTTGGTTTTATGTAGCTCACCATGCACTAATTTAAAGCATTTGTTTTCCAGTACGCATGGACAGAATCCCTTCAAATACATTACCTTATATTTTGCATTGAATATTCCTGAACTATTACTGTGGCTACCTGCATAAGAATTCATTCAGATTTATGTTTTGCTACTTGCTTTTTACCCATTTTTATTTGCATACTTTCTTGTTATATACTGCATAAAAAATTATTCAAACTTATTTTATATTGACTTGTTTTTTT